TAGGGATAAAATAACTAAATAAGAAAAGTAAAACTAAAATAAGTAACTAAATTAAAAGAACATGAAGTAACGCTCTATTCAGATGACTACACTTTACTCCGACATTTAAGCTTTCTTAAGTTGATGAAACAAAGAGTAGCGATTTTATGAAATGTAAACTTCCTTCTATAAACTGTTTACAGCTCATTAGTGAGTTTCTAAGATATAGTTTGATGAAAATATTAACTCGTCTTTAAAATTTTACACAACTAAGGAAGTAGCTGGGAAGTTCATGCTCTCCTCATCAGATGTTTCTGTTTTCTAGCTGATCATTAAAATCTGATTAATGTTGCTACGTTATTTAAACATAAATCTAAATTAAAATAATCTACAGTAATCTGTTACATCTGTTACATTGTACATACAGATGCACAATTTAACAGTAAATTACATCTGTTACATCTGTTATGTACATCTGTTAAATTACATCTGTTAAATTGTTACATATGTTACATTGTTACATCTGTTACATTGTACATCTGTAACCTTACATCTGTTTCATTGTAAGGATAGTTAAGTAATTGGGGTTTCTGTGCTGTAGTTGTACATTTTAAGTTTATATTTTTGCGTATTTGTGTACCATATGAACTCCTTCAAATTTTTAATTTGTGGTTATAAACTAAAATTCAAATGGCAGAAGAGAGGAAATATTGACCATGCTCCTGTTAGGAGTGGTATGTAGACAATAAAGTGTTTATGTTTAAAAATGCATTATGCTTAACTTGATGGTGGCCAGGCATACGACGTTGCTTTAATCCATATTGTATTTACACTTTTCAATCACTTACTTCATGTGTATTTTAACTTGGATTGGAAACTGAAGTAAAGTTTTTTTATCTTTTATTGTTCTACCCTTCTAAACAAAAATACAACAAATTTAATCCAAAGAAAGTTGTGCAAGAAAACATTTGAAAGGTTAAAAATAAATATTGCTGTTACATATTTCAAATACTGAACAGACAACCTTACCCATGGTAGCTCCATATTATGAATATAAATGGACGTTTTGTACCATATCGTTTTAAACACGATTTTTATCGAAGCCTTTCTTCTATATAAATAAAATTAGAGTTTTGTCTGTACATTGCTCAGAATCATACATTTTTAGGTTATTTTTATGTTTTATACATTAAAGAAGCCGAAACAAGTCTCATCTAAATTTCTGTCTGTCTGTCTGTCTGTCTGTCTGACACACTCAAGATGGCATTTTACGCAATCTTCTCCAGGAAAACGAGAGTACCTATCAAGACCCAAGTAATTTTAATGTATTCACTGGATTGGCGAGAGTGTCTTTAGCCATTAAAATATGGTATCACTACTTTGTAATTAAAATTACGGCCGTTCAAAAATGCAGTTTTGTGCGATTTTTGTCAAGTTTTCTTCCAATTTGTATCACATAATCATCTATGAAACAACGAACAGCTGTTCGGATCAAGATTATTTTTTCTAGCTGTCACTGAAATGTTTACAAATGTTGTTTACAAACAACAAAACCATTTCCGATCACGTTTTGAAGGCAAATCCCATCCAAGTGAGATTATAAACGTTTTTATTACATAAAGGATTTAATTAATCGCAAGTGGAATAATATAGTGTAACCGTAAATTAAATAACTAGGCATCATCCAGGTCAGGAACCAGAAATATGTGTATAAAATTGTTTTGGAGTTTTGATAACCAGAAAGAAGACATTGAATCAAGATTGAATCAGTGTTGTATACGGCTGGGAAACTTAAATTTACTAATGACCGTCGCCAATAGCTTAGAAACAATATTCCACTCATTGAGGGCTCTTCAATGGTGGTTGTGTAAAGTGTAAAGCAAAAAATTACAACTGCAGTGGGTGATTGTAACAGAGGTTTACGGTTGATGCTGAACCCGATTTTCCAATGTGTCACTTTCTGTTCCTACCATTGACTATATAAAGTCAATAGTTCCTACTCACCGTGTGATGCAATCGCTGGACCATACAGCCAGTAGGCCCATAGCCCTTCTCTTGGGTACGTGTGGTACGTATGCTTACCCAATTATTTATAACAACCCTTTCGACAACGATCCTTGATACCGGTACTTTTCCATAGAATACACGGCCTACCTAGGTACTTAAGAAATAAAATTATAAACGTCCAAAAACCCAACGTTGTGTGATTTTTGTCACATTTCCTTATAATGTTAATATATATACCAGCAACCATTGTTTAGAGAATACGTAATCTATTAAATAACAGAAAGTTATGTTGTATAAGGTTTTTTTTTTTCAAACTGACACCGATAAGTTTACATTAAGAGTTGTGTACAAATAAAGCAATTAATGGGAAATAACTTTGATTGCCGATAACTTTTTACGAGAAAATCCAAAACCAAGAGATCAATAACCTTGATTAACGCATATAATTGGTCGGCTGTACTACAGTTCTTAACTGTAAACGTTGGTTTTTGGTACGGTACTGGTTCTTTTCCTTTTAACCTTTAGTAGCAGCAAGAATCATTTTTACGTACGGTACCAACACATCACAGTAATTTACAAATTAGTTATCGTTGGTGTTGCACCTTATTTATTACAGGCGTAGGCCTATTCAATTTAATTGATGTCTTAACTGTATAATTTTTGCTTTTTCTGTCTGGATTCCAAAATGTTATGTTAAGAAAACTATAACGCATTTTAGTAAAACATTTATTCAGCAAACCATCATGAATTGTTCAAACACTTTGAACGTTGTTTATGTATCAATAGTTCGTGGCCTATTTTGGTAATTTTTATTACAAATTACCAATCTAAATCGTCTATAGTAGGCCTACTGTACTTCATTTCATATAGCAAACCGATTTAGATAGCATTTCGACAGAATTTCGAGTCATCTCTGGTCCAAGCAAATATGAATTGTTATGATCAAATTTTATGGCATTAACAAAGATTTCAAGTACTAATTTTATATGTACCTTTTTATGCTTAAAGCGTAGCAGATTCCCTAATTAAGTTCGGTATTTTTGTGTGTATGTATGATGGTAACGCATTAATGTCCTTGTTTCTCAATGTTTCACGGAAAGGACAAGAGCGCCTTGATAATGAAAATGTCAACCCGAATAAAGTGTTAAATTAAGAGGTTGAGGTAGTACCTTAAATACTTTTAACCATTATGTTATAGTCCTTTAAATTCTGAACAAAATTGTACAAATCCCATTTCCGTATATTTACTCTCACCGCTTACACATGATAAAGGTTGTTGACAAACTTATGGGAGAAAGTATGTGTCAGAATGCTGATACCGTTTATTTAGTTTAATCATTGGATATAACATGTGGACCAACAAGATCCGGGTGACATTTAATTGCGAAGCATTAGTTTTGGCTTGAAACTGTCAGATACTGTATTTGCGAAGGAATAGTTTTGTCAGCATATCTGAAAGTATGCAAACCAACTGCTGTGCTTTATATAAGAAGGTTTTAACTGACTATGATAAGATCCCCGTGCGTAGAACGGGCACACAGCTAGTTAAGTATAAATAGACAATTGAGGATAACTTATCCTTTATACATAAAATGGCCGTTTCGTTATTACCAAAAAGGTAATAATTGTCTGAAAATCAGCTGATTTATTTTTAATGCACTTTTCTGTAATTGCGGATGGTAGAATGTGACAAAAACTGGTAAGTAATTTTGTGTTAAGGTAATTTACAAAGTTAGCATTTAGTAAGAATTGAAATAAAACTTTTAATTAAGATTTACATTACAGATTCAATCATATAACCATATAACTTATAATCATATAACCTAGTATACAATCACAACATAATTTACAAGCACAAGAAATTTACGACGCAAAATTTCCTGAGGCATAAATGAGGGAGAAAATTGCCAGCCTCAGTTCACTCGGTCATAAATTTGGCAAACTTCCAACTCGAATATCCGTCACAAAATACTTATAAATGTAGGAAACTAATTTAACTAAGTTGGCCTACTACACCCACCATCACCAAAAGTAGTATCTTTGTAATGCATTTAATGCATTACTTTATATTAACAAGTATATTTCGTGGTTTACGTAAAAAGTAAATACAATAAATGCAATAAAACTTTTATGTTATTGTTTTATAGTGTAATTTATTTATTTGTTTGTTTTTATTCAATAAATGTAAGCTCCAATTTAATAAATGTTTATTTTCCAGATTATACAACAAAACTGCGTATTGTAGTTGATCTATGTTCGAATAGTAGTACAAATCTATTGAAAGTTCAATTTGTCAATAATCAATCATAATCCATTTTTAAGAATGATTAATAACCCTATATTACTTTTGCTTTAAGCTAAGTATTTTCTAAGCATGACTTAAGTATATGAGTTAAATTTAGTGCTTGATTTAAGCTAGAGATTAGCTGAACACTTCAAAGACGATATAATTTCCTGCACGATACAGTACTTAAAAACATTAAACATTGGTCGGTATTAAGCGTAATGAATGTCAAAGTTTAAATTATATTTTATATTTTAACAAGCATTTGAAATGATGCTGCGTAAGCAATAATTATTCCAATTGTTGTATTTTATTCTCCAAAGCAATCATACTGATTTCGTAAACAATTGATGAAAATCAAATAATCATTTGTACTTCAATATCTATCCTTCCACAGCTTTGGAATCGTATACACATACTGTATAGTATAGTTACTTCCCTCAACTAAAATCCTCCATTTAACTCTAAAAAAATTCCAGTCAGGCAAATTATCTTCAAACTGGAAACTGCAATAAATAATTCACCCTAATGGATTGCTTTCCTTAGTTCCAGGATAACAGACGACAACCGTTGAATGATTGATTGTCAGTTATGTCCCGTATTGTTTGGCCGTTGGCAAGAAGATGGTGTTAATGGCACGACCTTGAGGTACAACTAATAGCGTAGGTTACAATGATTGGATCGATCAGCTGACGGCGCGCGACGGCGCTCTCTGATTGGTCGACGCTTGGCGGGCGCTCAGTCTGTTCCCGCGCGCGGCAAAGGCGGTACGCGCCACGAGTGTACGGGATGCCAACAGTTACTTGAGGTAACAGCTGTTAAATTTTGCTAATATCTGGTTTATACAAGTTATGATGAACACGCATTGGATTCGGTTGGTTCATATTATGGATTGTATGTGAAAGTATTGTTGATTTTTCAACGGGTTTTCTTTGTAGGCCATTTTTTAGCTAGTAAATGGGCTCACGTTTGACACTGGAATGGATTGCGGTACAAGAACACTACTTTTCACCTTAAATGACTCAATGAAAATATTTTTAATGTGGGACAAAACAGAATTCACAAGACTGTTAACAAAAGTACATTCTATTAAATACAGCTTGTGCAATAAAAATAAATTTAAAAAAATACCAACCCTAGTACTCTTATTATATTATTAAATATCTATGAAAATTAACCGATCCATAGTACTTACTTGAATAATTACAAATCATTACGCAGATTTTGTGATTATAAATACACAATTATATACCTGTAGGGACTTTTATAATCCAGTTTACTTGATTGAAAGCATTATCCACACTACATAACTCGATTCACACTACTCCAGTATGGTTTATTACGATAGCATTAAACAGGAATGAAGATATATCAAGTGTTTAAGTGTTGAAATACGCAGTATTTAGACATTTTGCGATAAAAGCAAATTTTGAAACGTTCTTGTATTTCCCTAACTATGCTGATACTATTCATATTTTTCATCGGCGATTATTCCAAATGCGAGTTTACACTTGATTTTAGAATTTTTTGTTTTATTTGTATAATGGGTCGTTATTATTATATATATAGATCTGTTATATTTAGATCTGTTCGTACTTATTAATTTTAACTAATCTTTTGAACTAAGTAGCATTTTTTCATTTCACACTAAAAAAGAAATACAAATGATTCATGTGTTGCCATTGTACAATTTGATAACTTTTTTTGAGTTGTAAAAGGTGTAGGAATAATTTAAACCCCATTATTACTACCCCAAATCAAAATCGAATACAGTATAAAATGTCTGTGTAAAATATTTTGTTCAATTTGGGTCTATTTTGTTTTGTAAATTAGTCAACTAATTGTAAGAAAAAAAATTAAGTTCCTCGAATATTTGCAAAATATAAAAACCACACACTGTTACAATTTAGTTGACATACTTCTCGTAACAATTATTGATGGGACATAACCTTTTTTCCTTATAATGTTGTTTTAATTGATAATGGAAATTTACAGCTGTAAGATGTTATAAATTCGTCGTAATGATGCATTTATTTTAAATCTGATAGCATACTGAGAGTTTTTTTTAAAGGATTTCTTCAATACTAGACCTAAAGTAAATATTTTATACCAAACAGTGTTTTCACAATAAAATATCGTAACTGTAAGACACCCCAACTCAATAGCAGTTCCATTGATGACTAGTATTCAGATCTAAATGTAGTGTGAATGACTTTTACTAACGAGATACATTATGGGAAAGTTATATAAACATTTTTATTTGTTGATATAAACAAAACCTTCCTGGATGATATGTGGGGGAAGGCGTCGTGTAGGCAGCACAATCGCCGTAGTCGAATTGCGTTGGGTTCTATGAAGGCGTCGAGTGTGTAATATCATTACAAGTAATATCAAGACTAGGTGAAGAGTTGCGTTATTGAACTAGTCTTTGGAATAACTACTTATACGATGGAGACACAAATTTCATATTTACTAGTGGAATTGGAATTAGGGATTACGTTTCTATTTAATTGTAAATATTTCTCAAACGGCCACTTTGTTTTTATTAAAGTCATTTTTTCAATGTTTCTGTTGTCGGTTTTATGAATATATTTCCATCTCACGCTATAAATAAAACATGTGATTGGAATTGCTTCAATTTTTTTCATTTTTCGTTTTTATTTCGTTGTTATTTCTTCACCAGCACAGCAACCCATACGGTCCATGTTAACTTTTAATTTTAAAATAATTGTTGGGCTTATTTTTGAGCCTATTTTAATTTCTATTGGTATTCTGCACATCTAGAGGCAAATATCTTTCTAACAGTATGCGTGGATTTTCCCTGGAATGCACACGAGCTGAGAAAAAAGGTTTTCAAGAAACATGCTTGCCTATTAATATATAGGGTGTATAAGAAAGTAAAATTCAACTAATATAAACTGTATAGCTTATTAAAGACTTGTTTTCCAGCTTGAAGTATAATTAAGAACGACTATGTTTTTTCTTGTTACAAAAAGCACGTTAATGAGGTAGTTGAGCCCGCAGCCATCAACACCAAAGTGGGTCCCACAAGACTACGCTTCTCATCAAACTTTATCTTTCAAAACGGCACGATTTTAAATATTCACTTTAAAGTGATTCCTAAAAATATTCTTAAACTTATTCACCATTGTAATTAGTCGTTTTGATGTATGCGTAAATTTTCATTGCGATGCACACGAGCTGAGAAAAATAAGGTTTTCTAGAACCAATCTTGCCTATATAGGATGCCATTCCGTTGTTTATATAAAAATTATGAACACATTCAAGTAGTATTACACTACAAAGAAGTTTATTGTCCACCATACTTAAACCACTGCTAGTTAAAAACATCCGTCTGTACTTAGTATATTCAACGAGGTATAAAAACCAATATGTTATACATGTTAGTTCCAACTAAAATGTTAGTTTTATAAATCAAATCGGTGGTCATATCTCGGTAAAAAAAGAGTAAGATCTTTTGATTTTCACTAAGCCAATTCGGTTAACACAGTTTGACCAAAAAATATAAACCTCGATGAAAGTTATAGTTATCCTCCCGTGATCTATATTTTTGGATACAACTAATCAAGAGAACCAAATGCTACCAAGGCAAACGCTATCTTCTAGAGGGAAATTTGCAAATATGTCATCTTCCGTAATTCAAACTGACACAAAAGCTACTTCGGAATGGCAATGAGTTTTTACAAGCAGATTTCTGTTTCCTGCTATGTACATATTGTACAAAATTTTTCAAAAATAAAATAGTAATTCTACGTGGAATAAATAAGGGAATTATATTGTTTCTAAAAATTACATTATGGACCCCGTACTTCATGCTTAATGGATCTAATCCCAACTTCCAGTTTGAAAAACTAAGCTGGAAAATAAAAGACGAACTAATCTTGAGAGAATATAAACAGTGGGATATGCAATCAGATCAGAAACCTCAAAGCAAATAAAGAAGCTGGCAAACAATCTCCGATGTAGAGGAGAAAAAACGGCGGTTTTCAATATCAGCAATGCCTCACGTTGTGTTATTAAATTGATTTAATTAAAATACATTCCATATATCGAGTTATCCTGCTGGAAATAGTTAGATGTTAGATGCTATAATTAAATTGATTACAGTGTAATATAATTTAATTTATATTTTTGTTTATAGAATTGTCAGGCGTATTTAGTAAAATTTAGAAATATAATTCTTCAATGCGTCGGTGTTAACCTGTTAAGCCAGTAGCTGTTAAAATTAGAGTTAAGCTATATCAAGAAAATAAGGGGATTATGTCTTTTCACTAGAATACAACCTATCCCTGATATACTTGCATAGTTAGATTTGTCTTTCTACCAATGTTTTTAAATTATACCCTTAGACGAATTTTAAATGGTTATAATAAATTACCCTATTTTAAAGCCCTTTGAGTGCCACACAACGATATACCGTTTTGCACAACACATCTGAAAACTACTTCACAACGATATACCGTCATCGGCAGTCTTACCGAAAAATACATTGCTACGATATATCGGGCCGGCGACTTTCGATCATGTGAGTTTTAATGGGTATATCGGTTGACTCGGTTGTTATTATAAAACAACGACGATTTCAATCGATTTCTCATACGATCGAGGCACGATATATCGTTCCATGGCACTTTTGGGATGAAAATTTATACTTTTACCGATCTTTATTCTTGCGCACTACGCTTCGCCCCCACGGAAAGCCTGGCACTTTTCGGAAAGTTCAAAAATAAATTTCTGGCACCCAAAGGGTTCAAACTCGATATATCTAACATTTTTAAGCTTTGCAAGGTAGAAACAATATACAATATGTGTTACAATGTTGATAGATTTCGATCGATAATACTTAAGTGGGACAAACTTATGTATTTACCGTATTTTAAAAGTTTACAGAATAAATAAAAACTAAACAAAATATTAGTGGAAGATGACTTTTTTATATCCGTATAATAACAACAATACCCCCGCCGCAGCAAACCTGCAGACTTAGCGAATTTCCATTTGCCTCATTGGATTTACACTAAAATGTCTCCCTAAATATATCACATTTATTCCCTATTTAAATAGAATTAGTTTAACGAGTACTTAGGTTTGCTGCAACAGGGAGGGTAAAAAAGTGATTTTTAATGTAAAATGTTAATAGGTACTGTAGTTTAGTAAGAGATTATTGTATTTTCCAAATTTGATCAAAATATGTTAATAAATAAGCAAACTTCAACAGTTGACTTATTCTCCATAAGAATAACATGGGAATTTTAAAATTACAATTTTTTTAATTTTCTCCGTAACCCTTAGGCGCATTATAACGCTTCAATATACTAAATTATTTGTTTCTTTGAGCTCTACATAATGGTAGTAGTAATTGTGAAATTTTGTGTTTTTAGGGTCAAAAATTGTAAAACCTATTTTTACCCCATAAAACCCCCCCATAAACCCCCGTTTCCATTGTCCGATCATGCTGGTTCGCGAACTCATTCAATTTTATCCTGCTTTACACCTTTAAAACAAATTTCATCAAAATAGGACAAAAATTACTCAAGTTATCTATATTTATATATACATATATAAAAATTTTAACGAATGGTGCTTTTGGCCTCTGGGGACGTCAAAATGAAAAAGTAAATCGGTCCCGGGTCTAGGTCTTACCATGCCACCTACGATAATAGCTTACTTCCCTACAGGGAAATTTGCTAAAAAGAGCAACGATAATAAATAATTTATGTATTTTATAACCAGCTGACACAGGAGTTGATTGATTTCACTGTCGGAAGTGCTATATTAAAATAAAGT